ATCGAGTCTTCTTCTCAATTGCTTCCTGGGACTCGCATGTTCGCTTGTATTGACGAGGATTTGCCAAGGATGTGAGTGGAAGAAAGACGGCGAAGGAAAGTGGGGTTTTAGAGCACACAGCTCGACCACAAATGAAAGTAAATGGCTCGATAGACCTTTCTAGCCTATGGAAGGCAGTCTGCTACATTTTTGATTTCTGACTTATGCAGCCTGTCTTGCCTTACCATGAACCTTCGATCTAATACACCGGTGTTACTAATCTCAGTGGAACCGTCTTCTAAACTACAGAGTTGGCGAGTAGGTTGTGTCAGCAGAAAGACGAGGGCAACAGTTGGAACCCAAAATAACTAAACATAATGCAACACATGAAGGTATTTATGAAAGAGGCAGATTGAACAAAGAAAGATAAGCATTAGTTGTATTAATTATCGAAACACAAGGAACATGAAGGCAGGATTTGTGGGGGGGAGGGATGTGGTTGGGGGCTAACTGCTTGAAACTAGGTAGGATCTACGGATGAATCAAACTGCTTGCTGCTCCACAATACAGCTGCAAAAAAGGGGTTCAGACGCGTGCATGTACTCCCTAGTAATAAGCTATGTTTTGAGCATAGTGAAGCAATTCTATATGCCAAGCATGTATTACTGTGGACAGTACGCGATTACTCCACGGAAGTTTACCGTATTTAACTCTAGTACGTACAAAGGACTGGGGCCGGGCTTGATGGTTCCTAACCGGACGACTGCTTCCCAAATCCGCTCAGTGCCACAGTTAGCGTTTATAATTAGAAGAAACCGCAAACGGAGAGGGGTATCAAGGGGCGGATGGGAGGAGAAGAGGAGGGGAAGCGGAAGGGTAGAGGCATGCATTTCATTTCCTGGCTTTTACTATTTCCAAATCTACAAGGCAAATTTGAGGAATGAACTTCCCGATCAATAAAGCCGAAAAATAAATCGGAATAGACGGTGTACTGGAACCTGAGTTGACAGATGTTCGCTAGCCTGCTAAATAGCTAGGGGGCAGAAAGTTGAAAAACAATTAGAACTTCAAACCCTCGAGCAAGAACGGAGGGAAGAGACATGGGCAAGTCAAACAGGACGAGGCGAAGACTCCAGTTACCACATAAGGTGTGAGATAGCTGCACATTTTAGCAGGATAACTGGGCTAAGCAGATTTGACTGTGGGTTTTCGAGTAACAGGGTGGAATGTTGTATACTTGCCAGGCGCTCATAAAGAGACCACGTAGCTACAGACAGCTAATCATCCCGGCAGTCGCTACACCTTAGGATATGAAAAGAGCTAGTCAATGCCATGCTTAGTTGGGTTTTTGGACGGTAACTAGCGAACACCAAGGATTGGCCATAAGCAACAGACATATAGACAGACAGACAGGCACGCATACACACTTAACTAGTTGTGTCGGTTTTTCTCGCAACTAAAAAAGCTCTCCTGACGCGTGAGTATTTTGGAGTCTGTGATAAAACAGCTAATATGATGCATATCGTTGGATGCATTAAACATGGCACCTGACTTACGGGATTAGGAGAAAGACCTGTCTTTCGCTAAGAAAGAAGCATCGTGTTAGAAAAGATCAATAGTTGGTTGTTTGTGTGGTCTGTTTCTTGGGATTTTTTGTATTCTTCCACAACCATTGGCTCCCATAGACAGTCGGTGGCCGAGTGTTGCCCACCCTGAGTGTTGCGAGGCCGTAATGAATGCCAGCTCTAATTACAGCGCATTTTTGTTGGGCTCCAAGCCAATTGGAGAAGCACCAACGCGGACTATAGATGTGCCGATCACTCAGCGTCCGATTAGGGAGTCCAGAATCTCAGCAAAGTTAGAGTGCCCAGCTAAAAACCACTTCCTCCATAAGTGCACCTCATCTACGAAGGCATACTGCATTCGGTTAAAGTTGAATGCTTACACGGATGTCTGATTGAATGACCGTTTACCAAGTCTTCCTCTACGAAATCGTTGAATAAAAAGCTTCATGAATATGGGAAATGTACTCGTGCTTTAGAGTAGGTTCTGTCTGGACCCTCAACTAGAGCAAGGTCGGGCTGACGGTTCTGCCCATAGAAATTTCATATAATTAGAATGGGGCGCGTTACCTCATGCAGACTTTGCCTCGGCAAGGAAATTTGCAACTTTTAGAAGTCACGAATGAATAAAATACTGGGAAAGGGGAACTGTTAAAATCAGTCTAACATCTTTTTGTCTCACACGTTCTTGACAATTAGAACGCCGTCTTAGTGCCCTTCGAATATTTGCAGACATGGTATAAGTTTTGTTTTTTGAAATATCCTTTTGCAGCACATTACAATGTGCCGCAAAATATGCGGCCTAGGAATTGCAGAGATGTTTCCGTTTGACAAAATTTAGAAGAAAATTGGATACAGTTTTTGTATCTGTGGCGTGCGAATATGCCGGAGAGTAAAAAATATATTAAAACTGAGATGAACACTGGATTGGAGTCTCGCAAAAAGTAGTTTTTTTTTTTCATGTGAAAATGGATCACAAGACTGTCAGTGACTTAGACGGGGGGGGAGTACTCTAGGTCATGAATTCTAACAACCTGTCAGACGCAAAAAAAGACTGTAGTTCTTCGGAAAAATAACACACTGAAGTGGGGAGAGGGTAGGGAAGAGAGACTGCACACAGACTAAAAAAATACGATGGTCTGGAAGAATATTTGCGAAGCGAAAACAATCTGTCTAAGACGAGACCCAGAGAGTTAACGGCCTTAAAGTAATCCGAAACACCCTACAGAAAGCAAAAAGATATCGAAGCTGGTCGTTTTGGGCAAGAACTAACCAGTCTGTCGGGAGGGAGGGAGGAAGGGAGGAGGAACAGTTTTCGAAGATTTTGGATAAACTTTTATCGGTAGGCCACCTACTTGAGCAAACTGTGGTTTTAAAATTCGAAAACGGAAGACCTGCCCCTAACTTTAAAAGCTCGATTTGCCGTCTCAAAATGTACTTCACGCTGTACGGAACCATTTTCGAGCAGTGAAAGGCACGCGGGAAGGTTCATCAATTTCTGGACGCATAATCGAGGCAGTCTTGTAACGCTTGGTGTTGAATTGCCTGCACCAAAATGCTGGGCTTGTGCATAGATGGTGTCTTTGGCCTTACCAAAAGGGACCAGGTGTTGATATTAAAAAAATAACATTTTCACATCACTGCTAGCATATAAAAAAGGGAAAAAAGGTACTTACTCAAACGAATTGAGGCTGTTTGGTTTGTGGATGTAGTTTGTTGGCACATATCCGGCCTGACCGGCCATGTTGCGGACGTACCACCACTGAGCGTTGCTCTGATTGACAACAAAGTACTTCTCACCCTTCTGCAGGGGCAGCTGATTCTCCCGCACAGGGTTGTAGTTGTGCACAGCAATCACAGTGTTCTCCGAGTCGTCCTAAACACAAACATGCGTGCGTGAGTAGAGAAAGAAGGCAAGTGTGTGTGGTTACTTGAACAGGATTTCCGCTCGTGTGCGTGTTTACATACTGGCAGTCTTACATATCCACCGGACGTGAAAGCTCATTTGTGGTAGACGGAAAGGACATATATATTTTACTGAAGCTTTCAGAGGATCACGTATCCATAAGGCCATATGTGTCTGCGGATACCTCCTCTCCGCCCTTTGCCATTCCCTTTGAACCTGCAGGATCGAATCGCCGATTTTCCTGCAGTTTGTGAACATCGACTTGAGGCTGTCGGCCATGGCAGCTGAACGTCCGGCTGTGCACGTTTATTCTTATAGATCATATTTATCATTCGGAAGGAGAAAGGGCGTTCACCGGGAGAACGTCCCATTTCGAATTTTCGCTACTATTACGATATTTATCATTACTTATTTTTACATAATGCTGACCGACTAAAAGTTCGCGTCAGTGCCTGCTTTTTATGACATATACAGAGGGATTTCTGGGCGCTAAAAGTCCTTAGAGCTCTAAACACGAAATAAGCTTACTTCCATCACTGCTCCTAGATTACTATCTCCGAATTTGTGTCCTTTAACTAAAGATTACTTAGTACGATATAGATGTCCGATGTCGTAGGAAATCGTAGGATAATGGGATGCAGAAATTCTTGTTTAGAATGCTCGCTGACCAAAACTGTAAGCTCAGATGGATCAGAGATCAGCGTACTCACCAGTAAAGTTCAAAGAAGCCCTCGTGTAATGAAGTACTACTTGATTGTTGACAGTCTCACTTATCTACCGGACGTGAACATTCGTCCGAGTGTCTTACAAATCAGCCTAGATAAAGTTTAGGGCGAACGTGAGCTCATATTCCCATCCGTTATGCTTGTTGTAAAAATAGAATGCATGCCAGCTATGGATACAATTACAGAAATATATTACTAGAATATACTATTCGCTGGTCTTAGTAAGTATGACTACTAGAATTAGCACTCTTAGCGGTGGCATATTACCTCTAGCAGCAGAATCCTACTCCAAGCTTAGCAAAATGTGACACAGCTTTTGATGAACAGAGGTGAGGGGGTGGAAGCCAAGGCAAGCCCTTATGTGCTCCGGACCTCAAACATGTACTTACTCGGAATAGCTTAAACCCAGATTCACCCTCCTTATTGAGATCGAGGTGACATGAGCCCCTGCGTTGACTTAAATCAGTGACACCTCTGACAAATACTAACGTCAGAAATAGTGCCTGTATTAGTAACACTCAGCTACACTCCTACTTAGTAGTAGTAGTAGTAGTAGTAGTAGTAGAAATAGCCGTAGGAGTACCAGCCTTGGTTTCCTTGAGTCTGTATTAACACGCACTGAAGGTGAGTGAGGGTAGATAGTGCGGTAGTACTCGCGTAAAGTCTGCGGTAACTTAAGACTAAGTCAGGCGGTAGTTTTTGCTTGGATTGGAGAAAGTGGCCAACGCCAGATCCAATCTGGTCTTCTTGACACATGGTGAAGGTGAAGAGTGCGGTTGGCGCTAACTACGTCTGCTATCACTTTAAACTACCCCCTATAGCCAGTCACCATCACTATACCAAGCTGCTGGTGCATATGGTGGACTTCATTGAAATCGATGGCCGAACTATCATCATCATCATCATCATACGAACACTACAACTGCAGATGGGTCTTCCCGGGGCCGCGGCGTTAATTTGCAAAAAATATTAAAAGGAAGCAATAAAGTATTCTGCTGACGACTGCATGTTGGCGGTATAGCGGGAACATAGAAGAACAAAACACCCCAAGAACTACATCGAGTCTCAGACGGTGAAGAAATGAGGGCAACTTCGCCGTCCGAAATGGGGGGAGATAGTCTTCTTGGTCACTGATTGATAGGAGATTACTAAAATAAGACGGAGATTTCCCGGCTTTTTGGCAATGGCGACTGCGTGCCCGTCGTCGAGCAATAGTGCTGGTGAGAATGGAGGAAATGAAGAGGAAACCGCTCTGACACTCTCCCCAACTTCGGTTGGACCCCGGAGCACAGAGAAACATTGACGACGTTAGTGGAGTATATAAGGGCGCAACCGGACTACTAAGAGGGCGAAGATCGCCAGTTAGTCTAGTTATTGTTTAACCAACAGGAACAGATAGTGGAACGGACTAGCAGCGGCGATGCTACCAAATGGGGGGAGAGGGGGTTGGGGTGGTGGTCTGGCATGTTGACTACCCTATAGAAGACGTAGAGACAGAGAACAGCAATAGGAACCTGTGTGGTATCTAGTCATTGACGAGGTCAACAGAGTGGCCTATAAATCCCAACTAAACGCAACAGACCAGAAAAGCGCCCCGGTTATCAAACTACTCCTATCGACTAGCAGTAACAGTAATCCCCGGGGCTGGGACTCGCTCAGGGGAGAGCGTGGTTCCTATGCTGGTGGTTGCCCAGAGTTTTATAAGACGCAAATGTTGGCATCTAGATTGGTTAGATGTTAAGTTCACGGTCTGCAATCTGACTCATCATTTGAACAACAGAGACCGAAGGAGTTATTTTGTAAACAAATCCCTCCCATCTTTGCACTAATGCTATAAGTTAATGTATACTACAGTGAACGAAAATATACGCCCGCCTAGACTGCTCAAATTCGCTGTCTCTCTTAGTGCGAGGATGCGCAGAAAAAACCTCTCATCCAGTAGAACTAACAAATGCGAAAAGTGCTAGGCATAAACCATGGCTATGCACTGTCAT